ATGCTGCCTGAGTTTGTTTATTTTGAAACCACACGCTTGCTGTGCCGAGACTGGAGAGTCTGACTGCTAACAAATTATATGTAAACCCACCAAGAAGCTGAGCAACCGTAGAGCAATCTCTTTCCAAATAAAAGTTATTCATTAGGCCAATGAAGAGTTGTTCCATCCCCAAACTAGTCTAGCTTCAATCCAGGTTAAAGCTAGATTAGAAATTTAGGCCTACATTTTCTATTTTGTCTCAACTAATGTAGAACCATTTGGTTCAAAATAAATCCCTTATATAAATTCAATGAACTAGATGGATCTACTGGCCCTGGATATTTCTAAGAGGACCTAAACCTGGGCCATCACCATTATCTCAAGCACCTTCCATGCCAAAATACATTTATGAGCTATGATGCTATAACAAGGGATGTATACAAGTGTGCAGTATCTTTCATTTTAACATAATACAGAAAGTATGTGAACCTAGTTAATCGATAAATAATGAACCAGAAATATAATGAGGAATATCCCAAACTTTATTTTGGACATAATGAACTAGAAGGTCTGGGAATAGTCTCTTTATTACGTCTCTAGGACAGGATGCCATGAAATTATGGTCAATTGTTTTGGATCTCTGTGTTATTCCCATAGCTGCCCTTTCTCTTGTTCCATTCCATGATAAATAAATCTAACTTCAATTTTTCTTCCTCTGCTTGACAAGTTGTCCTCTACTTATTTTTTGTGCTCAGAATGTGTGCCATTATGAAATTATTCCTTACCTCACGTTTCAATTTTTTGGTCAAGCTGTTTAAGAGACAATATAACTCCTTATTTTAAATCTGTCACAGCTTACCTTTGCCAGCTAGAAAATTATTCAGAATAATTTCAAAGTCTTCCACATCTTCAGTATGGAGAGAAACTTTCGAAAAATGAAAGTAGGAGACCAAGACATCCTTTGGGTTTCTGGCCACATAAATAATCTGCAGAAGAAATTACATTAAAATGATATTAAAAATCCTGTGAAGTAAAATGTTTCAATCTCTCATCCCAAGAATGCCAGAATCCAACTGGTAGGTAGAGCTCATTGATCAATAGGCAAGTTGGTCAGTGCCTAGATCAAGAACCATGCATGTGCCATCCCTGTCAGCCACTGTAGTCAATAAATTTGTGATCTAATTATTCCATTCATATGTTTGTGTTGGTTTATTATGTGATGCAGAGGAGAACTTACTCCTGAATACATAATGTAACTTCAGATTTATTTATTTATTAAGAAAAACAGCAACAACAGCTATCTATGAATGGGCTTTGGAACCAACATCTGGTATGAATTACATCAAAGTATTTCAACAGACAGATTATGAATAAAGCATTTTTCTTGTACATTTTCCAACTGCTTCATGTAACAGAGCTGCCCTTAGAGAGGGGAATTATCCAGGGGCAAACAAAGGTGGTGGCTCCTGAAAAGAAGGAAAACTAATGGAGGATGGAAGGGCACAGTTGGGAAAAAAAGGGTTAAGGTCAGATGTGTCTTGAAGAGGGGGTTTGAAAAGACAGGATGCCATACACAGCTGTGAGGGAGAAGTGAGATAGGGGAACAACTGGGGAAGTAGGTGTGGAGAACTACTAGGAACAAAGTGAAAGAGTTGGCTGAAGACACTCAGCCATGGGATTTATCTTTGAGAAATATAAATAACAGGAGCCTCCATGAGTTCTTCTAATAAGAAACTGGGGAATTAATTACATTCTAGCACCATTCAGTGCTCCTTTATATTACTGTTTCTTTCTCATTTATGTATTCCAACAACTTAAAAAGTAATTGAATTACTTGCACTTTTAATGGATCAAGAGAAGTGCGCTCTCCCAATAAAGCAACTGTTACCTGATCCCATAAAATCTGTAATTTCTCTAACCATGCAAGCTGGGGTTATAATATTCCACTTGCTGTGGAAGAGGAACAGACACCCCATCTTAATTTTTGCAGCATGTTTGTCAGGAACTTTTACCATGGAAAATGATACACACACACACACAGGGCCTTATTGGCATACAACAGTGAAATCACAGCACAAGTATATACAACACAAAGTCACAGCTAAAAAAGGAAAACATACTTAAAAGATACTAATTTCAGAAATAAAATTTGCAGCAGTCTCACAAAAGAATGCATCAGAGCTCTTTAGAAAATATGGAATTTTATAACACCCTTGCATTGGGAACACTTTGAAAAAATGGAATCCTAGTATTTCATCTATACATTATCATATTTGGGGCAAGCAAACAGAGAATAGTGAAGTGCTTCATCAGAGACCAAGTCACAAAAATAAACCCTTTTGGAACGTTCCACATTTTTATATCTCCTATCCAAAAGAGCTGATGGCAACACATTACATCTTGCATTTGCCAAAGCTCTCCTCTGGGTGGGATTAATCAAAATGTGAAAATAAGTTGCCATAACTCCACACTTGCATGGAATTAATGATGTGGTAGGGGAACAAGTTGTCTTTGCTGCAAGAGTCAGATTATGAAAGTCAAAATCCAAAAGTCTGCTCTTGATTGATTTCCACATTTGTAAGCTTAAGAGTGTTTCCATAGACAGGCCAATTGCTTCTATCTTTCTGAGAATCAAAGAATAAAATTCTGAAATAAAATTATCTGATAACAGAGAGTGAATATAGCTATTGGGGTGTGCTTTAAAATGAATATGCTGCCAGAATTTTATGGCTCTCATCTATGTCAAAGTTTCAAGCATGGTGTGACCCATCTCAGTGCATAGCAGTCATACAGTAACAGAGAACCAATCCTAGCCTCAAAAACTTTGAGGGCAGCAAGAATACATTGGTTACTCTTACAGTAGAAAAAATATATTGCTGCAATGTTGGTATGTGCAGAAGCGCTTTCTTCCAGTGACTGAACAGTATGCCCTCCTTTGCTAGAGATGCTTCTTCACAAAAGAAATTTGTATCTCATTTTTAAATTCTTCTTTTAGAGTAAGGCCTCCTATCTTATTAGAACAACAAATTAAGTGAAAGAAATGATAGCACTAGAACTTCTTACCTTTCCTTTTCCATTTTTTAATCCCTTTGGTACTAAATAGTAGGGCAGATGGCTGGAAAAGTAACGAGGTGATGGGCGATTAACATAATCCATTTTGCGGATGTTGTACTCCAGCCATGGAACTCTGTCTAACAGGTCTACATGTTCAATCCCATTTCGATGACCTTCATGAAGAATTAAGCTTAAAATATTCTGTGTCCATATGGTTCCTGTGTGAATGTGAATGGAGTGATATAATTCATTCCTAACCATCAAGGTACATTTTACTTTCAAGGTAACATAAAGGAAAATATAATGTCTGTTTCTCAGGGAACATATGGTAAGGACAAATCCTACACCAATCCTAAAATCCAAAGTGGACCAAAAGTTGCTCCTGGATGTCCAAATGACATTCAAAGACTTCCAACCTTAACACATGAACCAGTTTAGCCTTGCATTAAGAAAAGTTGGGTAATGCTGAAACTCCAGATCAGCCTTGCACTTTGGATACAGTCTAAACAGCTGACATGCTCCTCTGTAAAGAGGTTTTTTAACTACATGGACTGGCACTGCCACCCCTTCTTCCCAGTGTTCAACAGTAAAGAGAAAAGTGGATGGACCAGGCCCTTGCTATGCCCATCGCCACAGCAGATGACTGGAGGGCTCTGGAGAACTGCTGACTGTCACTGGCCACCATTGATCGGGGAGAATTGGGGGTCGTGGTGAGATGGGGACCTTTCCAGATAGGCTGTTGTCCCAAGAGCATCCACATTTAAAAAATGCAGATGTTCTGGGGGCCTATCTACACTCACCCCAGAAAGCTTGCACTCTCTGGGGTGGGTGTCCAGATGTTCTATTGAGACTTCCCAGTAGAACACTGGGACACGTAACCTCCTCCCCAGAAGGCCCACTAAACTCTGGTTGCCAGAGTTCTCCTGGCATGTACAAGTGAAATCCCCCTCCTCCCCCCCCCCCCACCAGTCTCCTGGCATGTCATTTCCTCATGCCCTCCTGGCATGAGGAGGAACATAATGGTGGCCAGGTAAGATTTATTTTATTTTTAGGGGTTATTTTGGGTTTTGGGGGGAGAGAGTGGGCACTATCCCACACCTTTGAGTTCCAGGAACCCAAAAGGTGTGAGAAGCAATGGGGGTTCACCCTCAGGTAGTCTCAGGACTACCCGGAGGTGAATCCCCATAGGCCCAATACCCTATGAAACCCAGTCCTTTCAGGGAGGCCCAGATCTAATGGGGTATCAAATAAATTCAGATCAAACCAGGGCAACCCTGGTTTGTTCCAAATTAATTCAGAGGCATCATTTGGACAGGTCCCAGTTTTCGGGTCTCTCTGGGTGCACCTTAAGAATCTTTTCCCCATCAGCGTTTTCTCTGTCATCTCCTTCATCACAATACCCTCTATCCTTGTACATCCCCCACCTCAGCATGTTGGTGTGAATTTAAACTTCACACTATTCAGTTTTCATTTAAAATAATACAAAAGATCATGTTTCCTGAGTAATTTTTTTTACTTTTTTATTAAACATTTACATTTTTTTTACACAGACACAGAGAAAGAAAGTGGAAAAGTCAAGTGTAAAAGAAAAGGAAAAAGAAAAAAAATATATAAAGGGGATAATGGAGTTATTGTTAGTAATTTAAATCTTTACCAATATGTAATGTGGTATAGAGGAATGGAGAGGAGTTGAGGGGACAGTAAACTAGGCATTGAGTTGTAATTCTGACATCAATTTTTCATCTCTATTACACTTACAAACATTACTCGAAGTATTAAAAGTTCCACATGCCGTCTGTAACAAAGAGAGGAGTGTTATTGTCAAGTAACTTTTAACCTAGGCTGGATCTACACTGTCATATAATTCAGATTATCAAAGCAGATAATCCACATTATCTGCTTTTGAACTGGTTTATATGAGTCCACATTGCCAGACTGCCATATAATCCAGTTCAAAGTAGATAATCTGGATTTTATATGGCAGTGCAGAAGGGGCCCTTGTGGTCATGTCTTTCTTCTTGTATTACCTCGTGTTGTTCTTTGCTATTCTTCTCTTCTCGTTGTTATAATTTACTTGAAGTCTTTATCTGATTTTAATTAGTACAAGAGAAATCTAAAAATTCACTTTTTTCTGTTAGTATGTTAATAGGTTAGCAACTTAATATTATGCAGACAAAAATGACTATGTATCACTATAACTATTATTCTTTCTCCCCTTATCTACTCTGAGTAAAATATTTTCAGTCCTACCTGATTTTGGAAATGTGATCAAAAATACATCACTGTCTCTGATTTCAAAATCCTCCAGTGAATCAAGATATTCTGGTGTGATCAAATTTTGGGGAAAATAGCTTTGCTTGTATTTAAAAATGAACTTGCTTGATGGTTCCATGGTTAGTGCTGCTCACAGGACAATATAAAAAATGTCGATAGTTTTTCGAACTAGTTGGGTGGAATGAAAAACAACAAAGTAATATCAGAAAATTGTCCATGAATCCATTCAGTTTCTCATTTTTTCCAGAAATTAATAACATCATGGGGGGAGGGGAGAAAAGGAGAGCATGTATTCAGATGTCACCAAATATTAGGTAAAATACCTTCCTATGTGCTTCAATGGGTACATGTTTGATGGCTCCATTGCCAGTGCTACGAGAAAAAATAACAATGATTCTTCCAGCTAGTTGGATAGATTGAAAAACAACCAACTAGCATCAGAAAATGGGGTATGTGCAGCTCAGGCTTTATGAATTGATCAACACATAGTTAAGTTCTAAAATCTGCAGACTTCCTACCAATAGATTTATATTCATAATATATTATGACAAGCCTTATTAAAAGTATTCTGAGCACCGTTTTGTTAAATGTTTTAGGACATGGCCCAATTGTTACAAATGATTAAAAAAATAAGGTCATATCTGACAGCTAGTCACAACTACAATAGGGCCATTGTCTTGTTTACACACACACACACACCCAATTCTAAGAATATGGGGTGAGAATGGAAGAATTTATGGCATAAAGATACTGAGTGGAGCATAGAAAGAGAATGGGAACAAATGGTAATGGAGTTAACAGGTTGGAGGCTTGTCAACTATTTATTTGTTTGTTTGCTATATTTATATACCGCCCTTCTCAACCCGCAGGCGACTCAGGGGACTAATTCTGGATGGGGTTACACTCCACCTGAAATAATGTATTTTCAGCTTAGGTCTGTCTATTCAAATGATAACCCAGATAGATGTTATGGTCAAAAAAGTGTATTATCACCTTTGGCTGATACACCAGCTTCACCCCTTCCTAGAATCAAAAGAACTAAAGAAAATTGTACACATATTAGTAATCTCAGATTGGGACTTTTTCAACATCAATCACAACAGCAGCAGCAGCATTTCCACAAAACTTTGACTTGCATTTTGTATATTTGTTAAGTAAACTAATATAAATAGCTATTATCAAACAATACTTACCTCCTTAGTATTTTTTCCGCTAAAATCAGCAAATATTTCTGTTGCTTGGACTCTTTCAGCTTAACTATCAAGACTGATCTGATCTTGTCACTTTCCAACAAGCCAACAATTTACCAGTATAATCTTAGGAAGTATAAATCATTTTATTGCATCCTGATATTTAAATGAAAGAGCAAACCGTAGTAAATCATTACACGAGCTACTCCATGATTACATAAGTTGCTGTTGAGTTCCTGTTTTCTGCCAAGAATGAACATGTGAGTAGAAAAAGACAAGGGTTAGTGTAATTCAGGTCAAATCAAACACTAAGGCCCTTTCCATATAGCTGAATAAAATTCCATATTATCTCCTTTGAACTGGAATATATGGCAGTGTGAACTCAGATATCCCAGCACACTTCCAGACAGCCTTTTAACCCAGAAACATTCATGTTTTAAAAACGCACATGTTCCTGGGCCCCCATCCCTCCTGGAATTTTCTGGGAGAACACCCGGACAATCTATACCCCTCCCCACCCCCCAAAAAACCTTTTTAAAGTAAAAGAACATACCCGGCCTCCATTAGAGAGGTGTCAGAGCTCTTCTGGCACATAGAAATGACACGCCAGGAGAAGAGGGGCAGGAGGAAAATCAGATGCATAGCTTAATTAACTCCTCCAAGGTGGCCGGGACGGCTGCTCAGGTCATCTCCAGCTGCATTTCCCATCCTGAACTGGCTCAGGAGTGCAGCATCATTCCAAGCGAATTCCTGCACCAAAACACGGAACTCCGAAATGTATTGGGCCAGCCGACCCTCCTTGTGTGACAGAGCACACAGCCTGTGGTCTGCGGACTCCTTGGCCACTTGCCTCCCTCCCCAAGTTTCCAGCAAATGATCCATAAATCCTTTGGCGGAAGCCAGTACGGGAGCCTTGGCCTATGCAACGCCATAGCACAAGACTGTTTCCATCAGTGCCTCGAGGCCGTTACTGGATGGCTGTGCCAGCAGGTTGAGGGTGAATCCAGCAAAGATGGAGATCCTATGGCTGGGTCGACCGGGCAGTGGGGACATCCAGCTGCCTACCCTGGATGGCGAGGCACTACGCCCGTCATCATTGGTAAAGAGTCTGGCAGTCCTTTTGGACCCTCTGCTGACGATGGAGGCCCAGGTCTCTGCCGTTAGCAGAACCGCCTTCTTTCATCTGCGGCAGGCTAGACGGCTGGCCCCCTACCTGTCCAGGGACAACCTAGCTACGGTGATCCAGGCCACGGTCATCTCAAGACTGGACTACTGTAACGCCCTCTACATTGGCCTTCCTCTGTCAGTGATCCGGAAGCTCAAGTTGGTACAAAATGCAGCTGCTCGGCTTCTTGCGGGAATTCCGATGAGATGCCACATAACACCAATCTTACTACAGCTGCATTGGTTACCAATTGAGCACCGGATCACTTTCAAAGTGATGGTACTCACTTTAAGGCCTTGCATGGTCTGGGGCCGATGTATCTAAGGGACCGCCTCACCCCCTACCAACCCCAGAGATCCCTCCGTTCTGAGATCTATTGGAAATCCCCAGTGTCAAGACCTTGCGTCTAACCGCAACCAGACGCAGAGCCTTCACAGCAGTGGCACCATCACTCTGGAATACTCTGCCACCTGAAGTCCGTGCCTTGCGGGACTTACCAGCTTTCCGCAGGGCATGTAAGACATACCTGTTTCGACAGGCTTTTAATGTTTGATATTGTTGTTTTTAAATTGTTTTAAACTGCTTTTAAATTTTGTTAGATTTTAGCTATTCTTGTAAGCCGCTCCGAACCCCAGGGGAGTGGCGGCTTCAACTAGTCCAGCGAGAAGCAGCCAGATTGCTCACCGGAGTGGCGTACAGGGAGCATACCACCCCCCTGTTGCGTCAGCTCCACTGGCTGCCGATCCAATTCCGAGCACAATTCAAAGTGCTGGTTTTGACCTACAAAACCCTATACGGTTCCGGCCCAGTGTATTTGTCCGAACGGATCTCCCTCTACATCCCACCTCGAAGTTTAAGATCTTCTGGGGAGGCCCTGCTCTCGACCCCGCCACTCTCACAAGTGAGGTTGGCGGGGACGAGGAGCAGGGCCTTCTCAGTGGTGGCCCCCCACCTGTGGAACTCACTCCCCGGGGAGATTAGATCGGCGACCTCCCTCCTGGCATTCAGGAAAAAACTGAAGACCTGGGTTTGGGACCAAGCCTTTGGACACGCTGGCAGCTAAATTAAGGATCTGACGACAGACAAGGACAAATGGAATGGAATGGATATATGGACTCTGAACCCGAGCATGAGATTGTCTTAATATTTTATTATGCACTGATGTTTTCATTTTAACTGTTGAATTGCTTTTTTGTATTTTGTATTACTGTCAATTGTTTTAGGCATTTAATTGTGCCTCCTCTGTAAGCCGCCCTGAGTCCCCCCCGGGGTGAGAAGGGCGGGGTATAAGTAAATGAAATAAATAAATAAATATAAGTTTAAATAATAAATAAATAAATAAGACAGCCTGGGCCCTTCCAGCAGGCTGTAGATGAAACCCACTTTCACTTCATTGGGAAAATCTGCTCCTCGCACCTCAATGTTAGCATCACATTGTCCCATGAAGTCTTTCACCCGCTGGGTGTCCTCGGAGAACTTGGCCGGCATGGCTATCGGGGTCTTGGGTCTGGGGTTCAAGGCAGCGACTTGTGCCTGGAGCACTTGCACCTGTTGCTCCAACTGCTGTTGCAACTGCTGCATCTGCTGCACATCCGCTGGATTCATGGTGACTGGTGTCAGCAAGGATTTTGTGGAGTGTCAAAGCAAACTGTCGCACCTCAGAGTAGGAACCATCTTGCTTAGGACACCAAAGAACACAACAGCAATTGTCTTTGTAGTTTTATTAAAATAAAAGACAAAAAGTTCAAAAAGCAAAAGTATATTTTAAAAGATCAATCCAAGGTAACATAGGCAAACAAGATCCATGAAAACACAGGCAAGGCAAAGTCCCATGAGAACATGACAAAGTCCTGAAACATGAACATGAAAAGCTGCAAGATAAATCCCAAAGTCTCTTGACTGAAGCATGAAGTTGCTTTGACACTGAGGCACATTCAAACAGTCTGTTTAATACTCTTTGGACAACATGAAGGTGTTACTATGGCCCCGGGCCTCCCTCTCTCGCCTACCAGCAATCCTGTCACTCCTTCACACTTTGAATTCCAACCGATCTGTTTGTTCTAAACCACCAGCTCCATCAAAGTCAAATCCTTCGTTAGCTGGCTGAGAACTATCCTCCCTTTCCCTTCCTGCATTGGGCACCTGGCTCTCACTCTCAGTAGTTTCACTTTCCCCAGTGTCAACCGCTATGGGAAATAATTGAACTTCTGCCCCTTGTTCCTGGTCTTCTTCGTCTAACACAGGAACATCCTTGCTTTGCATCTGACTCTGAATCTGAATCCCATCATCCCCATCAGAATCATTGACACTATCACTCTACAGTAATTGAAGCAAAAGAAACTGTGACATTTTAAAAGCATCTTGAAATGTCAGATAACAGAGGGGTAATAGGATCCTCCCTACCAAAATGATGTAGTTGAAGAGTAATGCCATCCTCAATTACTTTTGCATACTTCAACTCATGACCTTCAGTATGGCCATAATGATTGTGAGATTTTGCAAAGTCAGGCTCAAACTGAACCAAGGGTGATATCTGTTCAATGTTTTATCTAATGCCTATTCAACCACTTTGGACTTTGAGCCATTTGATAAAATGATTTACACAGGCGCTTAATGGGGTGTTCTGTGTCAGGGAGAAATGTACAACCTTCCTGGAGCGGACTCTCTGTCAAGTGTCAGATGGTAATTAGTGTTACATGTTAACTGGATAACTTCCTTTTGGTGTGCTACATGAGCAGCTTATACTGTCTTAATAGATCCTATGGCATTTTGCAGAAAGACTGAAGATCATGTCCTAGCTCAGTGTTTAATGTACAGAAATAGTCTCAGTTACCACAGAACAAGCTACATTTTATTAGACTGTGGGTTGGTGAATTAGAGAATGTTGCAGTTTTTCCCTCTTCCATATAAAAAAGAACATTGAATCTCCTGGCTCACATAGTTCACGAAGGCACAGACTCTACCAGACTGGGTAACAAGTGCTTTATTGGGTGAACATGTTTCTACTAAATCAGTAATGATACAGGCATATGCAGGTGAAACCTATCCCCCTTTCAGTTGCTGTAAGATATACATAACATAAGTAAACCAATATAAAACCATTAGTGTGTAATCAGTTCTCTTGCTTCTTATGATAGAAACACTTCCTTGTTGGAAAAAGTTCATTACCCAACAAGGCTCCTATTATTTATCTTTCTCCAAAATAAACCCTATGTCTGCAAGGTCTGAATGTCTTAGCCAACTCGTTACTTCTGTATCAGCAGACACAGTGTCATCAATTCCTCCTTTTTGTACCTCCAGCCATTCTCATCTAGCTCGAATCTCCCACCCATCCATGCTTGGCTTCTTGTCTTTTCAAGTTTGCCCCATGGTCCCATTCCCCTCTTCACCATTCCATCTGAGATCACTTGCTGTTATCTATTAACTCTTTGTGTCCTGCTGTCTGTGCTTTTCCATGCTTCACCATCTCCCCCTCAATTCAGATGCCTCCTGACTTTATTTTCCACTTGGCAATTCCTTCTGCAAAGGCAAAACTATGACAGGAAGATAGTAGCTAGATCACCCTTAAAAAGTTATAAGAATGAATCAAGCAGCAGAACTTAGCTTGCAAAATAGGATCACTTCTGTGTGGGATGGCTGTCGAGATACCCATTACAGATTCTGCATAGGAAGTAGCTGTGGGTATTTACACTGCTGAAATGCATGGGATAACCTGAATGTGTATGTTTTAATAAATTGGATCAGCCTGCACACATTTTGTATTTCAGAATTAGGGTGCTACAAAAAGGATTATTTTAAGAGTGTTATACATGGCATAATCCTCTCATTTTAAGCTGGTGTTGGCTCACCATTACTGATAAATGAAACATTTTACTTTGTTATTGTTGTGATGGAGTCTTCGAGTAGTGATACTACTGGGAGTATTAGGAGGGGAAGAAAGACTACTCGTGAGCAAGACTCCGATGAGGAGCAACAGAGAAAGCGGATCCGGGAAATACTTATGGAATCCAGTAATGATGAATCATTTGAGGGCTTCACGGGGAATAATAGGTCTGAGACTGAGGAGAGTGGTATGGCAAGTTCAGAGGATGGAGAAATGGATTGGACTAAAGTGTGGGAGGTTCAGAATGTCTGTGAAGAGCCCACAAGTAGCGACACGTTAAGTGGGGTTCTCTGGTTGGCACAGTGGGGATCTGGCTGAGTCTTGGGGAGTTATGGGTCTGGATAACAGATGGAAAGATTGGAGGGATCAGCAAAGGCCTTCAGCTGAAAGGAGATCTGGTGGGGCATTGTCTGATTCCAGTTCTGAGGAGGAATTTGGGCAAGGGGTTTCAGCTGGTAACAGGGTGTTGGCTGGTTCCAGTTCTGAGGATGATTTGTGAATGAAAGTGGGGTTGGGAGATGGGGTTCCTTGCAGTTAGCAAGGTGTTGATGGGTATTCGTGTGTCCTTGAGAGCTGTTTGGGAAGACGTGTTTGGGAAGACTTCTGTGGACCTGCTGCACTGCCGTTCTTCGTTTTAGCTCTGTGTATGACTTGGACTGGATTACCGTGTTTGTTGCCTTCTCCCTCTTCGACCCGGATTGGATTCACCACCACGACTACGCCACGTTTGGACTGACTTCGGTAGACGACTCCGGCTTTTCTGTTCGACCCTTTGTACTCACTGACGTCCTGCTGTGGATTGGAGTGCTTTTTTCCCTGCTGATTGCATAGCTTTAAGTTTAAACCGGATAATATTCCTGTTTAATCTGGGTTATTTTCCAGGTCCTGTTATTTGGGTTAACTGTGTGTAATACTGTGTTTCACACTGAAGAATAAGTGTTTTGAGCCTTTTAGGTTTGTTTTAGGATTCTCTTGGTTGTGAACTAATAAACTTTACTTTTACTAAATACTGGTCTGGCGCTTTAAGGGATCTGTCTTGCAACAGTTATACTGTCTCATCCAACTTACATTTTCAAAATGATATAGAATTCATAATGCACATCTTCCATGTAATTTTCATACAATACACTGACCACCAAATAAAAATAATAATTAATTTAATCCGTGCCTATTTTAATTTGGCATTGGCTTCTCATTATTAGTTGGGAAGAAAATCCTTTCATTTCCGTTTTTATAGGATTTTTTCCAATTCACATTTCGTAACTGATACACAATCCCTTATGCAATTATCTTTTGTGCTTTGCAATTTCCTAAATTCTGCAATGCAAAAGAGGCAGGTGTGTCCATCATAATTCATCACTGATATCCCAGCAGAACTTGAAGGGCAACTTTTCCATCCATTCCTTAAAAACACTGTCAAACCTTTCACTCTGTGCAACTGTCATCATGTTTTTCCAGTCTCCAATAGTACCTGATGCAGAAATCAGAGAGAAAGGGAGATGAATGGGAATCAAAACCATAATTCTTAATGTGGAGAACTGATTATGATTGATGTGGCACTACACAATTTCCACCTCATTGCCTCTTTGTCAACTGATTTACCTTTGCGCAGAAAGCGTCCTTTGCTGAAATCTAGGACATCAGGAGGTGTGGTGCTGTAATTGGTTCTACTATCTGCACTCATTTTGTCAAATGAAGCCTTGTCCACAACATCATCCAACTCCTCTTCAGTTAGTTTTCTCCCCAGGAAGTTGCATATTTTCAATACAGAGCTTCTCAGATTCTAAAATGCGACATTTGGTTTTAATCTATTGGTATTTAATATCCACATAAGCTTTCACTCATCTTTAACATCCCCTGTCTCCTCTCTCAGCTCTGAACTTCCTGACAAATTTGGGCTGTTTTGCATGACTTTTGAACACCAAGTGGGAAAGCTATGCCTTACCTTCTTCATTTCTTCATACATAAGGAAGAGAATATTTAAGTTGTCCCTCTGAGAAGACCAGCCTTCTACATGATCTAGCCATAAATTACCTACCACTTGTAAGAGACATAATACATGTTAGAATACTTAAACACATATTTTGGCATCACAAATTGTTGTGCTTTATGTGATATATTTGTAATGGTCTCACCACACACAAATATATGAAGAACAATGTGGCTTTTAATTTCAAAAAAACAGAATTTGAACTCCAGATATATGTGGAAAGGATCATTTAATTAGTAGAGGAGGCCTAAGATAATCCAGTTCAAATCAGATGATTTGGATTTCTTGCTTTGATAACCTGGAGTATCTGTGTTCAAAATGTGTGGCATTGTGAGTTATTCCCAACTCCATATTACAATTTTTTGTCAAGCTGTATAAATATAAAAAAACAAAATAACTTTCTCTTTTAAAGTTATGTAAGCTTACCTTTACCAGCCAGAAACCTCTCCATAATAATTTCAAAGTCTTCCACTTCTTCAAGTTTGACAGAAACTTTGGAGAAATGATAGTAAGATACCAAGACATCTTTTGGGTTTCTGATCACATAAATAACCTGCAGGATAAATGGTTTAAAAAACTGAGGTAAAATCCCCCAGCAATTTGCCTACTAATGGGATTTTATCTCAAATTGGATTTTTCTGTGTTGTAGTTCAGCCTGTGATTGTGTCTGATATCAGTGGGGATGATGGTTTTCCTGGGCCTGTGACTGATGTCAACGGGGATGAGGGTTTTTCTGGTCCTGAGTTAAGTCCAGGTCTTGCTGAGAGGCCCAAGGTCTCTCATGAATGGACTGCTTCTCCCGTAGATTCCTAAAGTCAAATTCCTGGGAGAGGTCCATAGCAGTCTTTCTCTGAGAAACTGTCTTCTGAGGGTGATTTGTTGGATGCAGAATTTAATGAGTTTTAAGATAGAAAACAAGACTTTTGTGAACTAAGACAAAGTTCTCAAGATTTCCAAAGGTTAGTCCATCTGCTAGAAAAGAGATATAAGAAATTCTTATCTGGTTGCATGGGCAAACAGAATGCTTTCCTTTCAGTTCATGGGACAGGAAAAGCTTTATATGAAATGAGGAAAGGATTTTAGGTCAGTCTCATCAAGGTTGGATTTTCATGACGGTCTTGTTTCCAAGTGGATTTCTAGTTTCATGTTTCAAGTTTTGCCAGATTTCTGTTTTGGGCATTGGATCTCTATGCTGTCTTGGTCTTTTGGATATTGCATTTTTCATGGATTATTTGTATCTTAAAACTCATTTGTATCCTTTTGGGAAATACTGTTTTGGACTATACTGTTTTTATCATTCTTATTGCTTTGCTTACATATATCCTTCAATAAATTGCTATCTGATTTTACTATACTGGTGAGGTGTTTAAGGACAGAAGTGTTCCTGCTCTGGGATACAACATTATTATCATCTGATTTCAGACTAATTTTACATCTCTTTAAAGTAGTTAATCATGGTCCTAGCAATTGTGACATCTCATTCTATCACATTTCCCTCCTGCATGACTAACCTTATGTATATGATAAAGAGCCAGTGAGTTATAAACACTGCTGAGGAAGAGGAACAGTAACTTAAATGGAGCAAAATAATTTGGCAAGCCTAGGAAGGGGTTCCAAGGCCCCTTCTACACTGCCAGATAATCCAGGTTATCAAAGAAGAAAATCCATATTACCTGATTTGAACTGGATTATCTTAGTCTACACTGCTATATAATCCAGTTCAAAGCAGTTCATGTGGATTTTATACATCTGTGCAGAAGGGACCAGAATCAAAGGCATCAGTGTCTTATAGGCATTGATAAGGTATGGTGAATCCCATTAAGGTACTTGGGGATCGCAGGGTAGTATAGGACGTGCCCAGCTCAGGGTGGATGCTTTTCCTGCACCTCTTGCCAGCAGATTGATTAAAAATAATAAAGCATGCTCTCTTGAGCATTTTGCTATTGTCCCATCACAACTTATTATTATTATTACCAGTATTATTATGTTTATTTATACCCCACTTTTTCTCTGCACAAGGAGACTCAAAGCAGCTTTGGGAGTATGTATGTCAGGAACTTTTATTATATAAATTCTTTACAACAAGGTCTCGTCTCTGTTATGTTACAAATTAAATGAATGAAATGATAAAAGTAGCAGCCCTTACCTTTCCTCTTTTCATTTTTAACCCTTTTGGTGCTAAATAGTAGGGCAGATGGGTAGCAAAGAGACGAGGTGATGGTCGATTAACATAATCTATATTGCGGACATTGTACTCCAGCCATGGAACTCTGTCTAACAGATCCATGTCTTCAGTTCCATTTCGATGACCTTCATGAAGAATCAAGCTCAAAATATTTTGTGTCCATATGGTTCCTGTGTGAATATGAACCAACTGGTATAATTAATTGCTGAGCATCAGGGTGCCTTTTACTTTCAAGGAAATGTTTGTATCTATTTCTCAGGGAACGTATTGTAAAGCTTGATTCCCACTTCTTTAAGTTTCTTCTATTATAGCTAATGCTAAAATATCCTTAAAACCAGAAAAAAAATATCCAGAGATAGCAGCCTTGCCCATACACCAAAACACAGTAACATTCAAAATCCACAAAACAGCAGTTCCTTTATCGGGGCAACCAAAAATGCACAGAATATATCCTGCAAGTTTTATACTTTTTTCCTTCTGGTGACTCTCAGATACAATAAGTTTACATGTCATATTTCTAAATGTATCTCTGATTCCTTTTGTTATTTCTTCAGTTGCATCTTTCTGTGGATCATCATATTCTTTTAATACTTCCCTAGATTTGTTTCCCGGATCTCTGTTTGTTCATTTATCATGGTATTCTCTTCTACTCAGAAGGAGTCTACTTAAATGGAAGGCCCGCCAATTGCAGTTCCATAAAAATGCTATTAATTCATATATACTCCATGATGAAATCTTTTTCCATAAATGTTTTGACTGTTATTTTCTTCCTCACAATACCCTTCTGTCCTATACATCCTTCCTTACCCAAATGCATAAATTATTCAATTCAAATACTCTGTTCATCTTTTATATAAAATCATAGAAAAAATATCCACAAAACAGCAGTTTCTTTATTAGAGAAAATATTTCCAGTCTTACCTGATTTTGGAAAAGTGACCAGAAATATGTCACTGTCTCTGATTTCAAAATCTTCCAGTGAATCAATATATTCTGGTGTAATTGCTTCTTGAACAAAATAACACCCTTTGTGTTTTAACAAGTACTTGTCTGATGGCTCCATTGCTTGTGCTGTTGACAGGACAACACAGAAAAACAACATCAGTTCTTCCAACTAGTTGCAAAGAATGAAAATCAGAAATAAAGCAATATATATATAAAAAATTCATCTAAATTTTCATGAAATCCAGTCATTCTTCAATGATCAAAAATACCCAAAAATCATGTTCTTTTTTTTTTGCCTGTGAGATATTCTCAGAAGATATTGGGAAGTCGAACCTCGGGCACGAAGGGACTTTGGGTGGGGGGAGAAGTTGCTTTTCTCCTATACACGGGTGAAAGCCTCCTTTGCTTTTCCTTTTTTTCCTCTCTCCCTTTTTCTTTTCCCTCCCTCTTTTTACCTTCGCCCCTTCTTACTCCTACTCTCACTTCTCACTACTCCTTCAGCAGTTTCGCTGACACACACCTTTTCACTGTTTTTTGTTGTTGTAAAATATATAAAATCAATAAAAACTATTTAAAAAATACCCAAAAATCAAGGTAGAGAGAAGGTAAGGACATGCCTAGTTCAGAATTCAAAAAGCTATTGAATTGCTCAAAACTCTGCAAAGTTCTAAAACTTGCTGATTCTGATTCCCTATTAATAGATTTATGTTGGTAATAAATTAGACTATGTCACATGATTTTTGGTTCTGGGTTATAAATACCATTTCCTAATTCATTCTATCATAAAACATGGGAAAGGTTTATTAAACTGCAAAAACTTTATTTCAGTGGGACATCCTGCAGCACATTTTGCTATAGTTTTTCAATTAATATCTCATAGAGTCTCAATTAATTCAAACATAGTTTGTGGCAGCCACCAAAATGAAATTTCAGGAGGAGAACAACTACTTTCAAAGTAAGTTACTGCACAATTAAACAGGAAATAACACTTTCAACCAGGGAATAGAAAAATGTTCAAATTTTGTTACATGCGGACACTGAGGTGGCAAAACAGCACAGTGATAACCATTACCAGTCCATCGGTTCCCTAGCAGGAACTATTCCATAAAATTGAGCCATGGAAGTTAGTGGTATCAAACTGCCTTCGTTCTATAATATAGATGCACCCTAAGTAAAGGCTGGTAGTGAACATTTTGACTTTTTTCATAATGGGGTTTTCGTTTGGAACATAAGTTGAAACTGTGATGGCAATAGTAGACTCATATTCTATAACATCCATGTGTTCTGGGAAGATTATTCTGTGCAGAAATATATATGCTTTTTCTGTGCAAAAAAGGTTTTGGGAGAAAAATACTCTTTTTGTGGGGAAAAATATGTGTATTTCTGCACAGATTCATCTCCTATAACACATCAAGGTGTTTGAACAGTAGGATAACAATCTGTTAAAAATCTCACTCTCTGTTATTCATCTCAACATTTTTAACTAGCAAGAAATAAGTTTTTCATTAGGAAATGAACAATCAAGTATGTACTTTCTCTCTCGCATATAGTTTCTACATCTTTAATATTCATATGAATAATGAAGGGCCAATGTTCAGAACAATCGTCTGTGTACACACATGTTGACAGTCTCTACCTGTGTTGTAAAATGTAAACACTTGTAGTTTCTCTCTTTCTCTGACAGTCATATCCTGCTTTACCTCAAAGAAGCTCGTGGTACATTTTTTCTGACACCAGCAAGGAAAAAAGAGCATTTCAAATGATACAAATTTTCTTACTTCTAGTTCCAGTTTGAGAGAAGAATTTGCTAACAACAATAACAACAGCAGCAGTCGTAATAACAACAACAACAATAACACAATATCCACAAAACTTTGACTTGTATTTTTTGTTTCTTTGCTTGTTTAGTAAGCTAACACAAACAGCTATTTAAATATCACTTACCTCCTCAATTTTGTTTGCTGGAGTCAGCAAAGGACTATTTCAACTTAACTATCAAGTCTAATCTTCTAACCTTCCAAGAAAGCAACTATTTAACTGTCTATTCTTAGGAAATGTATATTCCCTAAGAATATATTGTTAAATTACTTTGCTGCATCACAAAATTTAAATGGGGGGTTGGACTCTGGTAAATCATTTCGGGAGCTGCTCCATCATTACATAAGCTGCTATATACAAACACTGTTGAGTTCCAGATAAGTTGGAAAAAACAAAGTGTAATTCAGGTCAATAAAATGCTCAGTCAATGAATTGGTCATATATTCAATTTATTGCTCCTTCAAACTAAATAGACAAAAAGGATGTAACATGTTATATTTTTGTAAGGTTTTCTAAATCTGCTTCATGGAGGTTTCTGAATGGGCCTCAAATCCTGAAATGGGCCAAAAGTCATTCTTGTACATTTCAGCCCCCGCAGCAGGGTAATACCAGTTACTTCAAACTGTCACACATAATCCCTTTGTCATTTCATTTTCCTTGCACCTTGTTTTGTAGGAAAATGGAATGGAATTTACTTCTTTTTTGTTTGGTTCTTTGTTGCTGTGGCACTTCCCATGGAAATCCAGAGAGCTCCTGGCTGTTGCTGGACATCCAGGCAATCTGGGGAAAGGAGTGTGGAAAAGGGGTAAGGAGGGGGATCTTCTTCTTCTTTCACCCATGGGATGCAGCTGTGGTAGAAACACAGTGCTATAATTGCACAGCATTACAAGGTTTTCAGTGGAAATCCATTTTCATTTCATGGAACTGATTCTGAATATTCTCTTTCTTTTAACTGCCCCAGAAAGGTATTTCTCCAGATCACATAGGCAACTTTGCCAACATCCGCAAAGTCCTGGTAACAGCCAGGAGCTCTCTGAAAATGTCAAAAAATGACAAAGCCCAAAAAGTATTCAATGCAACTGGCCGATCCAGTCAGTCCTGTCACTGCAGTGGGATAGAGACTGCCCCTGTAGATGTGCTGGAGTACTACCACTCCTGGCCAGTCTGTGTAGATGTTCCTTATTATTTTCCCCTTCACAGAAAGGAGGGAATATACATCTCTAGAAATCTTTAAATCCTTCATGGTGACTCTAAAGTCAACCTCCTCAGAGAGCCTAGAAATCCCTAGAGAGAGAGCATAGAAATCAAATCTGTGAGTAATCAAAATGCAAAAATTAAACTGCATTATAGTCAAGATTGGGGGCTCAGATTCTTGTGAATATTATTTGATGCATTTCTTATTTATCTGTCTATCTCTCTATCCGTCTGTCTGTCTTTCTCTTCTTTCTGCTTTTCATGCCTTTCTTCTTTCTGTTTATTTTTGATTGCATGTCTTTTTGGTTGTTAATTGGAGTGTACATGTCAAATAAAAGTTTGTTGTGGCACCTGAGTACTCTTTCAGAGAAGAACAAATCCCAGAATCCCATAGCATTTGGCTATGGTGTCAAATGTGGCATCAAACTGCTACAATTCTGCAGTGTGAATACAACCTTAGGCCACATCTATAGCAGCCAAGTAATTAGGGGCCAATATAGAGTATTATGCTCCATAGTAGCCCTGGATCAACCATGATGGTGGCCACACACACTAAGCCAAATCTACATTATTGCTTTGGTGTCCAGCCAATCTGGCTGGCCTGAACCTATATCATACACATTGGGCTATCCACATATCCTCTGTGTCTCTGCTGTAATTTCCTACCAGCCATAGAACTCCCTGTGAGCACTTAGTGATTGTGGTGGCATCTGCCAAGTTATAAAAGGGAATCCATGTGATCACCAAGAAGTATGAGTGACTCTCTTCTTATTGGAAATGGCATGGAATCCCTAGTTTGACATCAACTGAAGGAAATGTAGGAAATGAAACCAACCTTTGTACTTGGCATTCATCAACCTTGCAAAGGCCTTTGACACCATGAATTGTAATACTTTCTGGACCATTATCTTGAAAATTGTTTATCCTGATATATTTGTGAACATCCTTCACCTCCTCCATGATGGCAACAGTCTTGGACAGCAGTGACTCCCAGTGATCCATTCAAGGTGGGGTGAAGTTTCAAACAGGGATGTGTTATTTTCCATCTTCATAGCTATGATTCTACATCTTGTTGATGGGAAATTTCTCATTGGTGTGGAAATCACATATTGGACAGATGGCAAACTCTTTAACCTCAGCAGGTTGAAAGCCAAAAGTAAGGACAAAACAACAACTACAGGCCTCTTTAAACACCTTTGCAGAAACATATGAAAAGCTTGGCCTCTCACTGAACATCGAGAAAACACAAAGTGTCTTTGTAGTAGGCCCCTCTGCGCAACATTTCTTATAATGAGGCAGAAAGTGTTGGAGGGTTGGAACATTTCTAGGGGTACTATGGCGCTTGTTTATAAAGCTATTGTTCTTCCAACTCTTTTGTATACCTGCAAAACATGGACCGTCACTCTTTACCTCTGGGACGATTCCATCAGCATTGCCTCCTAAATATCCCATAAATCTCTTGGGATGAAAAGCAGACAAACATTGGCATTCTGGAAGAAGCAATGATAATCAGCATGGAAGCAATTATCTTCTGCCATCAACTTTGCTGGACTTGCCATGTTGTCTGAATGCCCAATCACGGTCTCCCAAAGCAATTACTTTACTGTCAGTTCAAGAACATATAACAGAATGTCCATGGACAGCAAAAGAGATTTAAAGATGGGCTTAAAGCTAACCTTCAAAAATGTGGAATAAACACTGAGAACTGGGAAGCCCTGGCCCTCAAGCACTGTAACTGGAGGTCAATTGTTACCAATAGTCCTTTGGATTTTGAAGACACCTGAGTGTCTTCAAAAGGGAGAAAAGTGCCAAGACAAAGGCACATCAAGCCAACCTTTGTGGTGACAGCCTTCCACCTGGAAATCTATGTCCTCTTTGTGAAAGACCATCCAAATCTACAGTAGGTCTCTACAGTCACTTATGGACCCACTGCCAAGACTCTACCCTTGGAAGACAATATTATTCAGTCACAAGTAGTTATCTATACATAGATAGTTTCTCCTAGATTTCCTTAACCAGAGGCCTTTTGAATGTTTCCCTTTATTTCCCAAGAAATACTTATGTTCTCCCAGAAGAGCTGTAGTGCAGCAAAAAGCACATCTTCACTTTCTGTAATGCTTAGAAATGAGATTCTTCTGTCATACTCTTGCTGGTGCTAGGCACCAATGGAGGAAAAAATGTTTAAAAGTGCTGGTGGCTATAAAACTGGTGTAAGTTACTGATGGAACTTGAGTCTAAAAATGCATTTTAGATGTCTAAAAATTGTGCATTTGCTCCTGGAAAAAGCCTTTCTAAGTCCTATTTTTCCAGCTTTCACAAATAGTAGTTAAACAAATGCAGCTCCACTCAGAGTTGAATACAGTAATTATCTGGACAACATGACATTTGAAACCAGACTGGGTTTTGGCAATTAAATGATTTGTTCTCTTTGCTTTGACAAGAAAAAAAGAAGAGTAACATGTCCTTAGAATGCAAAATTAGAAAACAGCATAGCCAACTTGTGTGAAGACATCACAAAACGAAGCCTAGCATTACAAAATGAAGCCAGAGAGCAGCTGATTGAATTTTGGAACGTAATTCCTTCTGTTCATATTTTTATAGGATTTGATCCAAGTCATATTTTATTAACATTACACAATCCATAATACAACTATCTTTTTATTATTTGCAGTTCTCTAAACCTTGCAATGATCTTAATGTTGTTTCAGACTGAAGGAAAGAAATGCATGAAGGACGGAATACATGACACAAAACAGAAGATTTATAATTCTCTCACACCTCCCTACAAGTAATTATCCATTCTGTTCTCTTCAAAAATATGTATTTTGGGGAAAGGTATTCAGAATCCAGGCATTATGAGAAATCTGTTAAAATCATGCCCATTATATTCAACAAAATTTGCAAACTGATTTGAAAACAAATTGGGACAAATCTGTTATTTTTCACCAAATTAAAAAAAAATCTGTGCAAAGCAAAAAAGTTGAGTTTGTTGATCCTTATTCATCCTTGACATCCCAGCAGAACTTGAAGGGCAGCTTTTCCATCCGTTCCTTGAAAACAGTGTCAAATCTTTCATTCTGTGCAACTGTCATTGTGTTTTTCCAGTCTCCAATAGTTCCTGGTGCAGAGTTCCGAGAAAAAGAAAGTTGAAAATGATGGTTAGCATTCATTATTCACAAGGGAGACGGGATAGTGGCTAAATTCTTACTGTGGGGAACTGGTGCTATTTGGTATGCCACTACCAAACCACTATCTGTTGTCCCACATTGCTTGTGAGATCAGCTAGAAATATCACAGAGCTGCTGAGTACCGTAGCAGGAGTTTCTGAGATATTCCAAAGAGGGAACTGCTGGTACAAAATACACAGAACTCAGAATTAATTTTGGTCTTGATTCTGGTGTGGTTCATTTGACTCAACCAGATATTATATCTTCCTATACATTGTAGGAGCCGGAGTTTGAGGTTTGGTCTACCACTTTTTGAAACCCAGGGTTTGATTCCCTGCCTGGCCATGGAAACCCACTGAGTGAGTCATACATTCTCAAACCCAGAAAACCCCATGATATGTTTGTCTTAGTCAGAAACAACTTGAAGGGACACAATAAGAGCAACATTAGTGGCATGTTCCCCAGCCTAACCCCAGCCTGGGTCAAAAGGGAGGAGAGTGATTGTCCCTTTTGGAAGCATACTAGAATGACAGTTCTATTCACTTAGAACAAATTTTAGAGCTCCCTTACAATGCTTCCCCGGCCAAATAGAAGCAGGCTTCCAGTCCTTGATTTCTAGACTCAAAAGTTAATCAGACCGGCTGATTTCTTTATCATACACTGCTTGCTCTCCGCTTTCAACACAGAGCCTGTTCCACGATGTACAGGAACTTCTGGCCAGGCTCTACGCCAAAAGGAGAGAGCAAGCAACAAATACCACTCCCGCAACAATACAGGAGGATTAATGTGCTGCATTTGGAACAATGGGGGGAAGCCAGGTGATGTGGGGCATGGGGTGATGGGTTTCCTATGCCCCTCGATGGAACCCATGTATTCGCCATGATGCATTGCAGTTCATAAGCCCTTTGCGATGAGATCCATAGTGGAATTGTTCTCCTCTGACTTAAATCCTTACACATAATCCAACACAATAAAGCATGTTAATCCAAACCTGAGGATCCCCTGGTGGCACAATGGGTTAAACCCTTGTGTCAGCAGGACTGAAGACTGACAGGTTGGAGGTTCAACTCCAGGGAGAGTGCGGTTGTGCTCCCTCTGTCAGCTCCAACTCCCCATGTGGGAACATGAGAGAAGCCTTCCACAAGGATGGTAAAACATCAAAACATCTGGGCATCCCCTGGGAAATGTCCTTACAGATGTCCAATTCTCTCACACCAGAAGCGACTTGCAGTTTCTCAAGTTGCTCCTGACATGAAAAGAAAAACCTGGAAAATTACAATTTTTTCTTTGTACCCAAAACACATGAAAACAGTAAGTCAGTCAAGATTATGGAATATTCAGACAGGGTCCACCCACTGCCCTCATTGGCCGCTGATTTACCTTTGCGCATAAAGCGTCCTTTGCTTAAATCTAGGAAGTTATCATTCATGTCGGTATAATTGCTTCTAGGATCCATACTCATTTTGTCAAATGAAGCCTTATCGACAATGTCATCTATCTCCTCTTTAGTCAGTCTCTTTCCTAGGAAGTTGCATATTTTCATTACACAGCCTCTCAGATCCTAAAATGGGACATGGTTTAGAAATGACACCAACTGGAAATCACCACAGCCTATTCACATTATAGGTTACACTGGAAAGTAAGAAGAGTTTGATAAGAAATTATTTTGTTACCCCTTAAAGAACCTTAACATTTTTATGGTAGTCCAATTTTATATTCTAGTCTAAAGGTTAAGGTAGCAAATCAGAATGCCTTCTGTTGTGGCTACTTTGAGGATATTTATTGTTGCATTGTTTCAGTAGCTTGTGTTTTATTACATTGTTGTTTTGATTATTGTCTTCTCAGATACTTGGAAATTGCAAATATCACATTTAACCTTCAGAATATTCCATCTATTTTCAACTGTGATTTCTGCCATTCACTGTGACATGTTGGGTGAACATGAGGCAATCGTTCCAAGAGACTCTCTTGAAACAGGAAAGGCCTGCTACATGTGTTCAACCATGTTGTTGTTGTTCATTCGTTCAGTCGTCTCCGACTCTTCATGACCTCATGGACCAGCCCATGCCAGAACTCCCTGTCGGCCATCACCACCCCCAGCTCCTTCAAGGTCAGTCCAGTCACATATGCAAATTGTCTATTAATCTCAAAAGGAAAGTTAGTTGGACAAGAACGAGACTGATATGGAAAGGCAGATATTCATGATATTAGGATTTTATTGAGCATGGCTTTTTAACACCAAGTGGTAAAACTGTGCCTTACCTTCTTCATTTCTTCATACATTAGGAAGAGAATATTCAAGTGGTCCCTCTGAGCAGACCAGCCTTCTACATGATCTAGCCATAAATCACCTATCACTTGTAAGAGAGAGTAAATGTTAGAATTCTTCAAAACAGATTTTGGCATCATAGATTGCTGTGATGTGTGCTACAAAGTTACAGTTTTGGCCTCAGACATCTGGACTGAATGCTTAAATTCTGTGTAGGGGGTGGTACTTTCCACCTGCAGGCTGAGAATGATTCACACAGAACATTATGTCGACTAAGCTGCTGAACCAACCCAGTGAAACACAAAATGGTGTATGGTATTGCTGTCAGCACAAACACAAAACAATCTATGCGTAATGTCAAAGTGTATTATCAAAACAGCATATAGTATTCCACTTACCAAAATCCCCAGAACATAGCTCAATTCAGTGATACACAGAAATCAAAAGGAGCAGCCGCTCTCAAACGTAACAGTTCTAGGTCTGGATAAGGATTCCACTGTATATAGGCTTTAGGGATACATTCAATAAGAAAAGTCGTATAAACAAAGTAAGTATTGAGTCATGCGGCTATATGTAAACTGAAGACAATAAGGAGGATGAAGCGCCACTCTCAAAACAATCTTCATGGAAAAGATCCAACTCAAGTCCAGTGAAAATGGAGCACGGCTTCATTCGCAGTGTGAATTTACTTCAAGCAGAGTCACTTTTTATATAAGCTATCTGGCATGATGTGAGTATATGTTATATGTTTGATGTATCCATTATCTTTACTACTGTAATTGTGCTGGAAAATACTTGTTACTCTATGTGATGTTATGTTTTGTTATAGATAAGAGTCTAGAGTTGCTGACTTTATCAACTCCTGAGGAAGGGGATTGCTTTCCCCGAACCAGGTACAAAAATACCCGGGCACCCCTGTTGAATGCCATTGGGACTTTTCCTTTGAAGACTTATTTTGAGAAGCAGTGCTCCATTTTCTCTGGACTTGAGTTGGATCTTTTCCATGAAGATTGTTTTGAGAGTGGCGCTTCATCCTCCTTATTGTCTTCAGTTTACATATAGCCTCATGACTCAATACTTACTTTGTTTATATGACTTTTCTTATTGAATGCATCCCTGAAGCCTATATACAGTGGAATCCTTATCCAGACCTAGAACTGTTACGTTTGAGAGCGGCTGCTCCTTTTGATTTCTGTGTACCACTGAATTGAGCTATGTTCTGGGGATTTTGGTAAATGGAATACTATATGCTCTTTTGATAATACACTTTGACATTACACATAGATTGCTTTGTGTTTGTGCTGATATCTTACAAGTACTCTGGGATATTGTGTAGTATGGTATTGCTGTGCACAATTATTTAGGCCTTTTACAGAATTTCATGTCAGGGAACCATACTTTCTCCCTGTACCTTGAATGACCAGCATGTTGCCCTTTCTCTCCACTCCAGTAACATTATTGAAGGTTGGTTTATGTAATGCTATTTAATCAAAACATTTTAATACTTATTTCATATGTATAGAAATTATGGGGCAATATGACAGTGTGGCTAGTTACTTAATCCTTGCTGAAACCTTTTGCACTTGGTACAAGTTTCTGAATCACACACACACACACACACACACACACACACACACATTCCCACACAAAATGCACCGCAGTAATCAAGATGTATGATTACCAATGCATAGGTCACCTTGCCTAAGTTAATTTTACCCAGGAATGGCGCCCGTAACTGTTTACCAAGTGGAATCTGGTGAAAGGTACACCATTTCACTGTAGTCATTTGGGGCTCCACTCAAATCTCTAGGATGTAGTCACCAGATCATGGCCCTGGCTGCTCCTTAAGAGGGAGTAAAATCCCTTTGAGATCACACAAAAAAAAAAAACTAGGCTCCTAGACCTCCAAGACCCTCTCTTGTTGTCATCTCTGCTAAGGTCTGGCAATTCAGGATCATGGCTTCCTTAACTGAGTTTATCCACTGCTTTCCACTTTAGTAATCATCATTGMTTTWTATAATGAATAATGCCAGCTCATGATATGTGGAAAGTACTGTCACCTCAATTTAGTAATCTCAGTGCTCTTTTCTATAACTAGTGCCACGAGTAAGCAACCAAACAATCATAAAATGTATCTAAACTGCCAACATGTTGTGATGTCCAGTTGGTTTCTGTGGTSAATGGTATGTAAACCCACCAAGAGGCTGAGCAACAGTAGCAATCTCTTTCCAAATAAACATTATTCATTAGGCCAATGAGAAATTGTTCCATCCCCAAACTAGATTTCAATCCAGGTTGAAGCTAGACTAGAAATGTATTCCTAAACTTTCTATTTTGTCTCAACTAATGTCTCAAAATAAATCCCTTGTATAAATTCAGTGCGCTAGAAGGATCTGCTGGCCCTGGATACTTCCAAGAGGACACAAAACTAGGCCATCACCATTATCTCAAGCACCTTCTACTTCAAAAGTCTATGAACTATGATGATGTTAGGAGGGATGTAACTATTTGCCAATGTTCAGGTATATAGTAGTGCAGTGTCTTTCATTTAAACATAATACAGAAGATATGTGAACCTGGTTAACTTATAAACAATGAACCAGAAATATAATGAGGCATATCCCTAATTTTCTTGTGGGCACCATATTCAAATATACAAGCCTGCATTAGTCAGCTCTCTTGGACATACCAAACCAGAAGGTCTGTGTATTACGTGTCTGGGACAGGATGCCATGAAGTTATGGTCAGTTGTTGAGAAATTGTGCATTATTCCCATAGCTGTCCTTTCTCCTTCCAGCTAAATAACTTTTTTCCTCTGCCCAACAAATTGCCCACTACTTGGTATCTGCATTATAAAATTATTCCTTTCTCTTTTAAATCTATCAAAACATACCTTTGCCAGCCAGAAACCTATCCATAATAATATCAAAGTCTTCCACTTCTTCAAGGAGGACAGAAACTCTGGAAAAATGATAGTAGGAGACCAAAACATCTTTTGGGTTTCTGGCCACATAAATAATCTGCAGAAGCAATTATATTAAAATTATATTTAAAATCTAGTTTGGAAAAAGGGTTCCAGTCACCCAAACAATGTGTCTAGTAACTGGACTTCCTTGCAAGTTGAGTTGTTTTGATAGTGTTGTCTAGTTTCAGACTAATTTTACTCCTCTTTAAGGAATTCATTAGTGAGCATGCCCAACTGGAGAGAAATGAATGCACATGTAGAGCACATGTAGCATCCTGGTTCCCTACTTTGCTGAATTTGTTTCAAGCATCATCCCATGCACCACTCTCTATCATATAGATAATATATTTGCAATCTATATTATGATTGTCGTGTTGTCACAAGCAGGGGCGGCTCAACCCATTACGCAAAGTAAGCATTTGCAGTATAGTTTATTTTGCCCAGGGGCACTCTTGAGGCGCTCTTGGGGGAAAATAGACCTTGACATATGCGAGTTGTAGTTACTGGGATGTATAGTTCACCTAAAATCAAAGAGCATTCTGAACTCCACCAATGATGGAATTGAACCAAATATGGCACACAGAACTCCCACGATGAACAGAAAATATATATCAATGATTGGTTGTGGGGGGGGGGGGGTAAAATACTGTTTGCTTACCATTGAAAATTACCTAGGGCCGCCTCTGGTCACAAGTGTTTATAACATCAGTAACTGAAACCTCACAATACAGGGCAGAACAGGTCTTGTCGAAGTGGGGGTAAATGCTTTTCCTGCACCCCTTGCAACTCATGCTTGGATCCATATAGATCCAATTTCTTTCATTCCAAGAATTCCAGCATCAGACTGGTAGGTAGGGTTCATTGATCAATAGGGAAGTTGATTGATGCCTCAATCTGGACTCGTGCATGTGGCAACACTGTCACATGCATGATGTAATGTGAAGTAATTCCTCCATTCAAGTGTGTTAGAGTTTTATGTTATGTTATATAGAATAGAAGTCATGGTTGAACACACAATGTAATTTTAGGGGTTTTTCTTAAAACTTTGTAAGCTACCTTGAATCTCAATCAGCACCTACTTATTAACTGACTTTGGAACAACATCTAATTGCACGTATTAGGGTGTGCACGGTACCGTTTTCAAAACTGGAGCCAGAAACTGAACCCATGGAAATGGGACAGGTGTTGGGGCTTGAATTGACTAGACCGAAACAGACCCCATGGGGGCTGCAATCAGTTGTTTTTATTGGTTTTCGGCTGCACCATGGCAGCAATTACATGTGTGGGGTTTTCCCCCCTTAGCCTTGCCTGAGCCAATCAGAGCAAGAAAGCAGATCATGTGCCTTTTTGCCAAGCTGATCTATATATACCAGGGTGAACTCTTCCATTTTCCTGTGGCATCTTGGCTTCTGAGAGAGAGAGAGATTCTGTGCTAGCTAGCTTCGTGTCCTATCTCAATGCCATCATTTCTTAGGATCACTTTTTGACTCAATTACAATCTTTTTCTTTGGCAATTTTATTTAATTTTCCTAGTCTAATATCTTTCAATCCTTTTTTTAAAATATTTTGCTAGGGAGGTCAGGGTGGGTGTGCATTTGATAAGGGGCTGTGAAAGGGCATTTTTGGGTAGTGTTTGTTTAAATATTTTTTACCTTTGGGGAGGAGGGTTTAGGGAAGGGTGGGTATAGCCTGACTCCCTTGAGTCTTTCTCAGACTTGGGGGAACGATGGTTATGTTGTATCACTGAAAATAGAAATTCAAGGAGAAAACTCTTGTAGTTTTTTTAATGTTGTTAATCAGTGATTGTGTAAAATGTTCTGAAACTTGGGGGAGCTATAGTAATTACTTAATGAAAAAGTAATAAAAAATTCATTACATCATTATATTTATGATATGGACCCCGTGGAAACTTTTATAAACATTTTAGAAATCATTCCCCTCCTTAATTTAGTTAAGAGTATTGAAACTTTTTTATTAATCTCACAGGCCTAGTGTGTATTCCTGCCCCAGTTCACCTTTGAGAATTGTCTACAAATCCGTGGATAATCCAAACATTCTGAAATTTGGGGGACTTGCCATCATAAATGTGTCCTCCAATTGTGGCCATTTACGTCCCAATAGCCCTAAAAATGACTGAAAGGGGAGCCTCAAAAGTTCCCCCATTGCTGCCAATAAGTCAGATCTTCCCTGAATGAAAACAGTACTTCTGGCTGATGGAACAAGAAATTGTATTTTCCCCTCCCGGTTTCAGGAACTTCCTAAAAAACAGAGCAGGGGCTGACTGAAAATCAGCACTGAAAATGGTATAAGTTTTTTTTTTCTGAATTGCACACCCGATCAAGTATATAAATGTAGAAAAAAATATTTTAACAGATAGATAAAGAATAAAGCACCCATTATTGAACATTTTCCAATTGTCAATAATAGGGTTGCCGTTATAGTGGAAGCAAACAAAGCTGGAGGCACCAGTAATGAAAGAAAGCTAGTGAACAGTGGGAAAGAAGGGATTGTGGCCAGGAGCATATGAACTCAGATGGTGTGTTGAAGGGGCAGGGAATGGCTTTTGAAAAGGCAGGAAGCCTAGCACAGCTGAGAGAGAGGTGTGAGATGAAAGGAAAACTGCTGGCGGTACAGAATCATATGTAGAAACAAGACTGATGATAACAAAGTGAAACATTTGATTGAAGACACTCAGCTGTAGGGTTTATCTTGGAGAAACATAAATAACATGGGGCTCCATAAGTGGTGAACTTTTTGCAACAACACAGAATTTCTGTCATAAGAAGGAGGGGGATTAATTACATATTAATTACCTTTATCTTTTTTCATTATCATTTAAGTATTTCAAGAATCTTGAAGGAAACCTTCCAATAATTGTTACTGATTTAAGAGAAATATGTTCTCCTAATAAAGCAACTATTACCCACTCCTTTGTACTCTATACCTTCATGAAACATGCAAATCCGTTCCAATGCCCTCCCACCCCTTGAAAGTGAGAGAAACTTTGACAATCCATCATAACTTTTATAACATGTGTGTCCCACCCAAGAAAGAGAGCAAAACTCTGACAATCAATCATAACTTTTGTAACATGTGTACCAAGAACCTTTACTATTGAAAATTATAGATGCTTCAAGTTTTGAAGTCTCTGACATTGGGCTTCTGGCCATGACTGAACAGTGTGCCTTCCTTTGCTAGATATGCTTACTCTCAGAAAACCTTTCTAGCTAAATTTTTAAATCCTTCTCACTCCAACATCGAAATGCTTTGTACACATTTTACAGCAAAATCTCCATCCAAGTAATGACAACAAATTTAGTGAAAGAAAGTACTAGAAGTCCTTACCTTTCCTCTTCCATTTTTTATTCCCTTTGGAGCTAAATAATACGGCAGATGGATAGTAAAGAGGCGAGGTGATGGGCGATTAACATAATCCATTTTGCGTACATTGTACTCCAGCCACGGAACTCTGTCTGCTAGGTCCATGTCCTCAGTTCCATTTCGATGACCTTCATGAAAAATTAAGCTTAAAATATTCTGTGTCCATATGGTTCCTGTGTGAATATGAATGGACTGGTATAATTCATTCCTGACCATCAAGGTACACTTTACTTTCAAGGTAACATAAAGGAAAATATAATGTCTGTTTCTCAGGAAACATATGGTAAGGATTGTCTACACCAGCCCTGAAATCCAAAGTGGACCAGAAGTCCTTCCTAGATGTCCAAATGACATTCAGAGGCTTCCAGCCCTTAACATGAGCTGAGCTGGGGAATGCTGAAACTCCAGAGCAGCCTGTCTTTGATCATTTAGTCCTTTGGAGCTACACAGCTGGACCCCTCTCTACCCAAGAAAGGAGTGGGTAGCTTCAGTCATGAGGGAAACATTTATTTATTTACTTACTTACTTACTTATTTATTTACAGTATTATTTACAGTATTATATTCCGCCTTTCTTACCCCACAGGGGACTCTGGGCGGATTACAGTGTACACATATATGGCAAACATTCAATGCCAAAGATGCACAACAAATATAGACAAACAGTCAGAGGCTATTTAACTTTTTCTGGCCGCCAGGGGAGCTGTCGCTTTAATCATCCATCTGCGACACTGATGAAGTACTTCCACATTACAGGAGTGCTTTGCTGGAGTCAGTTACTGTTTCAGTAGCTGAGAGACATGAATTTTTTTTGCCCTGATTTAAAACCTCTTTGTATCTCAGAGTCCACATGGCAAAAGATAGGAATGTCCTCTGGCTGCATCGATATCTCTCATGGCCCATTTAACTGACAATGTAACAACATACAAAATGCAGGCCCATGACTCTAACACTGCAATTTCTTTTTTTTCTCCTGTCTGAAGACCATAAGCCCCTGGCTGGGTCAGTATACACATGTTCTTCCCATTCTCCCCATGGTAGTGTCAAGTCCTAGAACACAGCCTGAGGCATGTCAAATAATATTATTCTTCTGTCCTCTAGAGAGGCCACACTCCCATTACTATAATGGTAATTATTAAATTACCAGTGCATTTGCAAAGAGATGATGTTATATCTCTTGATATTAAATCATCATGAAACTTGGTCAATTTTTATTGTTGGGGAAGAGATTATAAATTGCTTCAAAAGTCTGAGGAAACCCTTTAAGAAGTCATCAAATGCAGTTGCACAGGCTACCTTGCAATAAAAATCCTGGAACCAGATGGATGAAGTAAAAAAATGGGGGTGGGGGACTCCTTTTTCTGACAGTTCATTTTGTTAGAAAGTTGAAAAACAGAAAAATCGTGACCTTACTGTGTAGATGATATATCTTCTTGCTTGTGGTGACATGGGTGAATTGTTGCAGAGGTGAGCTGATAGTAATTTGTTGACTTGAATTGTAGAAGAATTTTAGAAGATAAGAATTTGGGTATCACTTTTCTTTTAGGTTTTATGAAAACTGACATTTTCAAAGGGGATGTTTTTATTTTTCTCTGGTGACTCAACTACAATCTGTTTACACTTCATACTTTTAATGTGTCAGTGATCCTTTTGTAATTTCTTCTAATATATCTTTCTTTTTTTTAATGCTCCCTTATGTTTGTTTGCCAGATTTCTGTTTTGTTTGGTATTTTCCTCCAATCACAAGTAGACCATATAAAAGGAAGCCCATCTTGACAAAAATGCCATTACTCTAAGTGTTTTCTGTGTTATCACCTTCCCCTCTGTGGCATAATGTAAAAATAAACCATGTGGATAAAGTCCTTCAGCAACTCATGAAGCGAGAGCACATTCCAAACTCTGTGTCTCTCTGCTTCTCTCTCTGCACCTGCATCGCTTTATTTATTGTGTCATCAGCAACCATACCATTGTGTTACAATTCTAACAGAACAAAACAAACACACAGATTAAAAAAAAACAAAACACAGATTTTGCAAACTTGGTAGTTGGTTAAATGTCCTTTGACCAGTATCTGGTGACTTGGAGTGCCTCTGGTGTTGCCGCAAGAAGGTCCTCCATTGTGCATGTGGCTGGGCTCAGGTTGCATTGCAGCAGGTGGTCAGTGGTTTGCTCTTCTCCACACTCGCATGTCGAGGATTCCACTTTGTAGCCCCATTTCTTAAGATTGGCTCTGCATCTCGTGGTGCCAGAGCGCAGTCTGTTCAGCGCCTTCCAAGTCGCCCAGTCTTCTGTGTGCCCAGGGGAGTCTCTCATCTGGTATCACCCATGGATTGAGGTGCTGGGTTTGGGCCTGCCACTGTTGGACTCTCGCTTGCTGGGTGTTCCAGCGAGTGTCTCTGTAGATCTAAGAAAACTATGTCTTGATTTAAGTCGTTGACGTGCTGGCTGATACCCAAACAGGGGATGAGCTGGAGATGTCTCTGCCTTGGTCCTTTCACTATTGGCTGCTACTTCCCGGCGGATGTCAGGTGGTTCAATACCGGCTAAGCAGTGTAATTTCTCCAGTGGTGTAGGGCGCAGACACCCCGTGATAATGCGGCATGTCTCATTAAGAGCCACATCTCCTGTTTTAGTGTGGTGAGATGTGTTCCACACTGGGCATGCATACTCAGCAGCAGAGTAGCATAGCGCAAGGGCAGATGTCTTCACTGTGTCTGGTTGTGATCCCCAGGTTGTGCCGGTCAGCTTTCGTATGATGTTGTTTCTAGCGCCCACTTTTTGCTTGATGTTCAGGCAGTGCTTCTTGTAGGTAAGAGAACGGTCCAAAGTGACTCCCAGGTATTTGGGTGCGCTGCAATGCTCTAGTGGGATCCCTTCCCAGGTAATCCTCAGAGCTTGGGATGCTTGTCTGTTCGCTGCATCGCTGAAGTCTGAACAAAAATATAACAGTATCCAAAAGTTCCAGGCTCAGCTTGCTCCCCGGGCAACGCCCAACCAATCAGCTTCATGCATCTTATTTTACAGATGACACATACACACTCACTTATTCCTTACATTCTCCAACACCTTCTATATTGTACGTTCTCCTCTCACCTCAAAATGATGATGCATGATTTAATCAATTTAAACTTTCACTCCATTCAGTCTTCATATGAAATCATACAAAATGTCATGTTCTCTAAGTAAAATATTTTCATTCCTACCTGATCTTGGAAAAGCGACCTGAAATATATCACTGTCTCTGATTTCAAAATCCTCCAGTGAATCAATATATTCTGGTGTAACCAAATCTGAGGGAAAATAGCTTTGTTTGTGTTTGAACAGGAACTTGTTTGATGGCTCCATTATTGGTGTTACTGACAGGAGAATACAAAAAAAAATGTCAATAGTTATTTCAGCTAGTTGGGTGGAATGAAAAACAACAAAGTAACGTCAGAAAATTAATTTTTCATTCTAAATTTACATGAAATTCACTCACTTTTCCATTAATAGACACGGAGGGAGGGGGAGAGAAAAGGAGATGTGAATCTCAGACAGTGCATGTGTTCATGTCGCATATACACATATCCAGATATATGTGAGACACCCTGGAACTGTGTTATTTCCTGATGTCTACCCAGGAACAAATATCCCTTAAACCTAGGGCATTAATCAAATATGCAGCCTGGACAGAACAAACACATGTGTTTTTGTGTTACTTAATATGCACATGTTCTCTTTCTGTAAACTTGTACAGTTTTGTCCCCAAAATATTTTTTTCTCTAAGGAGAAAATTTCTCAAAGCAAAATCTAAGAAGATTTTTTTTACCACTGGAGCAATTCTCAGGATGAACAGAAGAATTTGGGGAATAAAGGGAATAAAGGGAATAAAGGGAGCATAGAAAGAGAGTGGGAACAAAGGGTAAAGTTGGAGAACACAGTGGGAAATAGCTCTACAGCTCAATAACCTGGGGTTGGAAGTGTTTCAACCAGTTTTGGATGGGGTTACACTCCCCCCAAAATACTGTGTCCACAGCTTGGGAGTGCTCCTGATTTATCTCTCCAGACAATTCTTACATTCAGGAGTATTATTGTCAGCTTTAGCTGTGCCCCTCTCTAGAATTTAAAGACCTAAAGATGGAAGTACACACCTATAATAAAACCATGCTGCTGTGTCTACCTATTAGATACTCGGAAAAGTACAAAGTGTTGGTCATTACCTTCAAAATTCTACATGGTTTGGGTCCAGGCTACCTTCAGGATCTCTGTCTCCAGTACAATCGGGTCCTCTGGGGACGTTTACTCCAAGCAGCAGGAACCCAACTGGAAATTGTCACCCAGGGGACCTTTTCATTGGCCACCTCTAAACTGCAGAATGAGCTCCCAGAAGAGATTCAACAGCTAAATGAGTTTCAGAATGTAAAACAAAACCAAATACCTCTCTCTTCTAGCAGGCCTAACCAGTCATCCTGTCTATGTCTTTTAATATGTGTTTTAATGGCTTTATATTTTTATCTATGTATTTTATCGTGTATTTCAACAGTGTTGTACCCTGTCTCAATCCTTGAGGAGAGGTAGATAAGAAATAAAATGTATTATTTCATTATTAATACTCTCATTACTGAAAGATATATACAAGAAAAATCTGTATAACTATATGGAATAATAATAGGGTTTTTTTGTTTGTTTGTTTTTAAGTTTTTGGATTCAGTGATAACATATGGTGAAAGGAATATATTCTGCCCTACAAGTATCTGCATGTAGACATCATCTTTCAATTATGAATCCCTCCACTCCTCCACACACATACACCCAAACATACCATAACCTTAATAGGGACCTTAAAAACATCTCAGGCTTCCTGATTCAATCTCTGGGCTGTCTAGTAGCTGATAGATATAGAACACTAAGTGGCCTCATTGAACCCTATTCTCTCGTAATCTATTTTAGAGATCTATGTTACAATTATCTTATTAGGTAAAGTCTGTCAGTAGATGTTTTGGCTTTATTAGAATTTATTTCATTTTCAAATTTTCATAATAGCGTTTTTTGTTTGTCCTGAAAGTCTCCTTAAATCCCAGTTTTGTGAGAAGAAAAGATGATCATGATGATCATGATGGCATTTCCATAAAACTTTGACTTGCATTTTGTTTGTTTATTTGTTCAGAAGTTAATACAAATAATTATTATCAAACAGCACTTACCTAGTTAATTTTGTTTGCTAAAATCAGCAAAGAATCTTCTGTTGCTTGGACTATTACAGTTAATTATCAAGACTGCTCTTGTTGCTTTCCAGGAAGCCACTATTTAACAGCATATAGGGAGTGTGAATTACTTCATTTCATCCTAATATTTAAATAAAAGGGTGTACCGTGGTAAATCATTAATGAGCAACTCCATCATTACATAACCTGCTGTACACAAACACTACTGACTGCCAAGAATGAACACATGGGTAGAAAAGTTAGGTGTTAGGGTAACTCAGGTCAACTCAAATGTCATTAAATCTATCCATTCAAAATGTAGACTGGTCTTTTAGGGCTGGGCGGTTTCGTTTCGTTAATTCGTAATTCGTTAAAAATTCGTTATTTTTATAACGAAGCGATAACGAACCATTCTGGAGCAACTTAAAAACGAAACGAATTTTTAAATTCGTTTCGTAAATGCTTCGGATTCGTTATGTATTCGTTTCGTTATCGGTTTGAGGTCGTTTCGTTATTATTTCCGCATGTCTGGGGCAAGTTTTATAGTTGTTTTTTGTTTAATCAGTGAAAAAAAATTATAATATCACACCAACAGTCAACAACAGAGGGAGAGGGAAGCTTCAGAAGTTCCCCCTGTCCCATTTGGAGGTTTTTTAGCGTATTGCGCGGTCGCGTCCGCCATTAACGAATCGATTCGTTATTGTTTCGTATTTGTTTCGTTAATGTTTCGTAATTTTTTTTAACATTTACGAAATTTCGTAAATATCGAACTTTTTAAAAGAAAAATTTCGGAATTCTTTTAAATATCGAAACGCAAAAAACCCCAAAAAACGAATCGATTTTAGAAACAAATTTTTCCGTTGTTACCCAGGCCTATCATCTTGGATCACTGGTCTTAATGTATACCACCCAGAAATCTCCTTTGGTGTGTTTCTCTTTTTTCGGTATTAGTGAAATTGATGTATTTTAAAACACATACCCACTCCTTTTTGCTTCTGGTGTATGTGCAGTCCAAGCTCTGCAGCAACTCAGATGCATTTCTGTATCCTTTCACTTTTTCAGGTTTAACCAAGGTGGTGTACAGCTGGGGAAAGAGTGTGGAATTGGGACAGCAGTCTCGGCCTCTACTCTGGTCCCTTCTACACCTCCATAAAATCCAGATTATCAAAGCAAATAATCCATATTATCTACTTTGAACTGGATTATACGAATCTACACTGCCAAAAAACAGAAGATACAATAATAAATTATTCCAACTAAATGAGTCAATTTCCAACTCATTTGGGGGGAAAATGCTTCTCAAAATTGTGCATATTTCAAAAAATTGTATTTAATATTGAGACATTGCAATAAATGTTTTTAAAATCACTTTGCTCAGCAAATGTTGCCAACAGATGTCATAACTCCTCATTGATATTCCACAAGGGCAGCTTTTCTATCCTCTTTTAAAACATTGTTTATTTTTTCACTCTGTGCCACAGTTATCTTGTTTTTCCAGTCTCCAGTTGCACCTATTCAAGAGAGAAAAGGTTATTATCATGTATTCTGAATGGGAAAGGGGTTTAAAAATCACAAAATACTTACTATATTGCCCACTAACCCATGCCCATTGAGATACCAGATAGAAATGTAACAAAGCACTAGAGCATTGTAACTGGATCTCCTGGGATTTTCCTAAAACTCATGCCAACTCCATGGAACCTCCAATGAACCTTATGTTCCTGACTCCAGGATGAATAATCTGAATCTTCCAGAGATTATGTCAGTCTAAGAGCAACTTTGATGGCACATTCATGTTAATTATTCAAGAATATTGGCCTACATTTTCTATTTTGTCTCAACGAATGTAGAACCATTTGGTTCAAAATAAATCCCTTATATAAATTCAGTGGATTAGATGGATCTACTGGCCCTGAATATTTCCAAGAGGACCTAAAACTGGGCCATCACCATTATCTAAAGCACTTTCCATGCCAAAATACATTTATGAACTATAATGTCATTACAAGGGATGTATACACGTGTGCAGTATCTTTCATTTTAACATAATACAGGAAGTATGTGAACCTACTTAACTGATAAATAATGAACCAGAAATATAATGAGAAATATCCCAAATTTTCTTGTTGATGCCATATTCAAATATACCCATGACGAGCCTGCATTAATCAGCTCTCTTGGACATAATGAACCAGAAGGTCTGGGAATAGTCTCTTTATTATGTCTCTAGGACAGGATGCCATGAAGTTATGGTCAGTTGCTTTGGATCTGTGTGTTATTCCCATAGCTGCCCTTCTTTCTCTTGTTCCATTCCATGATAAATAAATCTAACTTCAATTTTTCTTCCTCTGCCCAACAAGCTGTCCTCTATTTATTTTTTGTGCTCAGAATGTGTGGCATTATGAAATTATTCCTTACCTCACGTTTCAATTTTTTGGTCAAGCTGTTTAAGAGACAATATAACTCCTTATTTTAAATCTGTCACAGCTTAAATGTTTCAATCTCTCATCCCAAGAATGCCAGCATCCAACTAGTAGGTAGGGCTCATTGATCAATAGGCAAGTTGGTCAATGCCTAGATCTAGACCCACACATGTGCCATCCCTGTCAGACACTGTAGTCAATACATTTGTGGTCTACTTCTTCCATTCATGTTTGTTTGTTTGTTTACTTACTGTATTTGTATACCACCCTTCTCAGCCTTTCAGGCGACTCAGGATGGTTTGTGTTGGTTTATTATGTGATGAAGAGGAGAACTCACTCCTGAATACATAATGTAAGGGTTTTATTAAAAACAACAGCAGCAGCAGCAGCTACCTATTAATGGACTTTGGAACCAACATCTGGTATGAGGTACATCAAAGTCAAAAGTATTTCAACAGATAGATTATGAATAAAGCATCCTTCTTGTACATTTTCCAACAGCCTTGAGTAACAGAGTTGCCCCTACAGAGGGGAAATATGCAGGGGCAAACAAAGGTGGAGGCTCCAGAAAGGAAGGGAAACTAGCAGAGGATGGAAGGACACAGCTCGAAAAAAAAGGGTTAAGGTCAGAGGGTTTGAAAAGCTGTGAGAGAGAATTGAGATAGGGGAACAGCTGGGGGTACAGAAAGAAGCAGGTGTGGAGAACAAGACTACTAGAACAAAGTAAAAGAGCTGGCTGAAGACACTCAGCCATGGGGTTTATCTTTGAGAAATATAAATAAAAGGGGCCCCCATGAGTTCTTCTAATAAGAAACTGGGTAATTAATTAAATACTACCACCATTCAGTGGTACCTTATATTACTGTTTTGTTCTCATTTATGTATTCCAAGAACTTAAAAAGGAATTGAATTACCAGCACTTTTATTGGGTTAAGAGAATTGGGTTCTCCTAATAAAGCAACTGTTACCTGTTCCCTTAAAATTTGTACTTTCTTTAAACATGCAAACTGGGGTTACAATGTGTCCACTTGCTATGGAAGAGGAACAGACACCCCATCCTAATTTTTGCCGCATGTTTGTCAGGAAAATGATACACACACACAGGGCCTTTATTGGCATATAACAGTGAAATCAGAGCACAAGTATATACAACAAAAGGAAG